GTGTCAGCCACCCCTCCCAGTTCGTACCAGCGGCGAACGGGTCAGGATGGAAACTGGTGCTGCCAAGCTCTGAGGTGGGGAGGAATCCCTGGGCACAGAGAAGTTCTTACTGCTACTTATGCAAAGACGATTAATTTCCTTTCACTCTCTTTTTTAATGTGGCCGTACTTTTTCCTTTGATTGTTAGTAGTGCAGAAAATTAAGTGCTTATTAGTTATTTCTTTAATGTTTTTTCATCTTCATTCTTTGATTTTTCAGCTCACTATATAAAGCCTATCCTGAAATAGCTGTCATGCTACTTACATTGTATTTCTTTCTGCTGCAATTGTTGAGAGGATACTGTCAAGGTACTACTTTATACATAGTGAAAAATAAGTTTATTTTAAGCTGAAATTTCCTTCTATGGGATACGCCTCTTCCAAAGGTGCATTTACATTGGGTTACTAATGAGTATTGGGCAAGCAATGCCTTAGTGCCTTTTTGGGGAGCAAAAACTTTTCTCACCATGTCAATAGGGAGTCTAGGAACTTGATACTGTCCCTTTACATTTTCCTTTCAGCTTATGCCTGAGCCCAAGTCCATCCATTGCCCCATTCCTCCAAACCTTCTCCTCACCAGGATCCACACGTCCTTCTCTTCAGGCTGACACCAGTGGTCAGTTCTCAGCCTGCCCGGCGCATCATACACGCGGTCACGGTTTCAGGGCTTTGCCTTTGAAATTCAGCAGCTCTTTGTCAGCCCTTTTCCCCAGCTTGGTGAGGTTATGCTGAGAGGAGGAGAGGCTGTGGAGATGTGGGAGCACACCTTCGCCATGACGTCTGAGGCAAAGAGGAATTGAGTGCTTTGGCCTTTCCGTATCCATTGCTACCGGGTTCAGCAGCAGATCTGCATTACACGTGCTTTTTTTCCTGCTACTGTGTATGTAGAGAGCCCTTCTTGTCCTCCTATGTCAAGCATCTTGGTTTCAACTCTGTCTGACTTGTTTTTTCTAATGCCATCTCTGCATGCTCAGGCAGTGCTTCGTCATTCATCACAAATGACTTATGGTGGAGTAGTAGATGATTAAGTTGGAACATGAAGCTTTAATGGTAAAAGTGACTGCCATCAGTTCCTTGAAATTGAGGTTCAATTTTAAATTTTCACCCTATCCTACACCTCTTCAGAAAAGATCTTAGAAATCTAATTGTTCAGTGGAGTCTGCCTTGTGGCTCTGGAGAGCCTCTGATTAGTTTTAAAGTGGAGCTTAACAGAAATGGAGCTTTTAATTAAGCCAGGAGCTGCAGCAACATCCTGTTCTTCCCAGGGGTCTCCTTTCCAGAGGCAGAATCACTGATCCATGCATTGACTCTAAGGAAGTATCCCAGAAACCGAATCATTTAGATTGTGCCTTTTAATTTCCAGCTCTTTCTTTCTCATGATTGAAAAAAATCACGAGCCTTGTCGAAGCTTTCTGGTACGTTAGTGTCATAATTGCAAAATACGTGCTCTAAGTGTGTGAAACACCAGCCCTTTTATAATAGGTACAGATTACATTGTCACGTAGCTACGGAGTTACAGGATTGGTATCAAATGTGACTGGCAGCGCTACTGGGGAGGATGGCACAGAGGAATCTGAAGTACAGCTCTGGCTGAAGAGGAAGTTTCAGGCTAATTCTGAAGGGGAGCAGTGACAGTCAGGGAAGGTGATACACGTCTTTGGGACAGACTTTCAATTTTTACACAAACAAGCAGAAACGTTACACATACATCCACATCTTGAAATTGTAGATTGGACAAGACTGGAGAGAAGTATAGGGAAGTTTGAAACACCTTCATATATAGTTAAAAAAAATAATAATAATCTTCAGGTATTTTCTCTAGTCATCATCTAATCTGTCTTCTATGATATTCCAGCCTTTGATCTTACAGTATCTCAGAACTTTTATCCTGTTTTAAAAGCATATAATCTTGGAAAGTAAATAGTGGATATAGTGTAGAATGTCAAAAATCAGATCGTTCATTTTTGAGACATAATAACCTTGAGCGATGGAAGAATTTCAGTAGTGATCATGAAGAAAAGGAAAAGCTTGCACTGATTGCAGAGTAGGTGAGTCACTGGTCTTTGGCAACCACGGGGTAGGGGAGGGATCTTCATTCTTAAGATTCTGACAGATCTACAGTTTTGAGAGAAATAGGGAGGTGCATTTTGTCGTGCGGTAAGTCTCTGGGGTGACGCTCCCTGCAGAGCAGTGTTGGAATTCTAAGGTGCTTCACTGCAAGAACAGTGGAAGAGTCAACATCTTATGAGAGGCAGCTGGAAAAGTTGGCTTGTTGTGCTTGTGGTGCGTCCCCAGAGATGAGGTAAGACTGTTAGCTGTGACCCTCGGTGGTTCAGTCTGGAAAAACGCCAGACAGGAAAGACCGGCGGAGCTGGGAGATAACCACTGGCACGAGGGTAGCGGCCAGCAGCAAGGGGAGGAGGAATCCTAATCAGGGCAGTGAGGAACGGAGGTAACTAACTGCCCAGTCAGCATGGGGAGTGTGCTTTGAGTTAGGGGTGAAGAAAAGTTGGAGAAGGGCCACGTGACAGTCAGAGGGGTCGGCTTAGTGCTGTTCGCACCTCTCCAGCTGTTTTTGTTCTCATTAGCAACGGTCCCTTCCAACCCAGTGCATTCTATGATTCCATAAAAGCATCCTGCCCTCAGAGGGGTCTCTTACCGCAGTGGCAAGCTTCTGGAGCTTTGATGGACACACCTTCCAGTTAGAAAATCGTTGTGTGCACATAAATGGCTTTGCTTTCCTCATGCAAGAGGAGTCCGTTGGCTTCGTGATTTGGCAGCTCTTCTTGCAGTTCTTTGGCCACATGTCCTGGCAAAGTGACTTTGTGATGTAGAGCCCCTGGCGTCTGACCGTTTGAGAGAGCTAAGTGTATTAAATTTCTTTTTACAGCAGCGATTCTTGGCTACCTTTTGAAGTGTCACCCTAGTTTAGGGCATGTAATACCTGATTTTTTTGAGCACTGCCTAAGAATCTATCCATACCCTGCCTTTCTCATTCCTCTGATTTAGAGAATGGTAGCATTTGGAGTTGATTTATGAGGTGTTGTGAATTTTAGACTGCACTAGAAAATCTGTGTCATTGCTTTGATTTCTTTTTAGATTTTCTATGTCTCTGCTTGGTGACCTATACTTTTTTCCTTTTTTTATTTAAGAACAAGTTAATAAAAGGAAAATCGGTTCATTTCACTCCTAGGTTCCAAAAGAGAAAGATGAAATGGTAGAGCAAGAATTCAATCGCCTGCTGGAAGCCACATCTTATCTCAGTCATCAGCTGGATTTTAATGTTCTCAATAATAAGCCTGTCTCCCTGGGTCAAGCTCTGGAGGTTGTCATACAGTAAGTGGCTTCCCCCTTCCCGATAGACTTTGTGATTTTGGGGGCAGATTTCCCAAAAGACACCCAAACCAGTTGTGATGCTCTTAGGGTAAACATTACCCACGTAACACAGCTGCTGGGTCTCAGCCGAGTTCATGTTTGTGTGTGTGGTTAGGGTTTATTTGAAGTAAAATATGCCAACAATGGTTCAAGGAGCAAGTGTCTTTTCTTGAAAGCTTCCCGAATATCACAGCTGCAGCTGATACTGGATAACTGATTTACTACCAGTTGGTGTATGTACAGCCCACTTACACTACTTGAGAGTTAATGGCATTTTTAATATGCTTTTTTGGTAATAGCAGGTACTTGAGACTCGTGTTTTAGCTAGTCAAGTATCCCTTATTTACAGAAACTTGTATTAATTATCTAATTACCATGGAAGTATTTATTAAAATACCCGATGATGTGCTTTTATTGCATTACAGTAGTTAGATTTTAATAATGAGTTTTCTCAGTAATGCAAGGATACTGTGCTGAACTGACTCGAACTTTTTGTTTTCTCCAGACTGCAGGAGAAGCATGTGAAAGATGAGCAGATTGAACACTGGAAAAAAATTGTGAAGACACAGGAGGAATTGAAAGATCTTCTTAACAAGGTCAGATGATGACATTTGGAACAAGGGGATAGCATGGTGTTCCTCAGAAAATGACGAAACTTCCAGAAAATAAGAATTCAAAGAAATGGAAGAGTATCAGGAATTTGCCATTAGTGCTGTTCTTAAATGTGTCTGTTCAATTAAGAGCTGCCTAGGAAGCACCGTTACAACAAAGGAGTCTCCGTCGAGGAGGAGCACATAAGTGATTACGCAGAAGACTCTGAAACATAAATATGGGAAAACAGAGAGGAATGTTGTGGTTTAGGCCCAGCTGAGAACTAAGAGCCACACACCTGCTTGCTCACTTCTCCCCCAAAAAAGAAAATACAAAAAAAGGCTCCAGCGAGGGTCCCTGCTGTGGGGTGCTGTCTCTCGGGAACAGACGCTCCAGCTTCCCAGTCAGAGCTGCCTTAGGCTGCAGCCGCCTGCTCCGCTTTGGGGCCTCCACAGGCTGCAGGTGGATGTCTGCTCTTCCGTATCTGTCAGTGGCCTGGATGAGGGACCAGAGAGCGCTGTCAGCAAGTTTGCTCACACGAACCTGAGAGGAGTGGCTGACACCCCAGCAGGCTGTGCTGCCATTCAGAGAGACCTGGACAGGCTGGAGGGCCGGACGGGGAGAAGTCTTAGGAAGTTCAACAAGGGCAAGTGTAGTTTTGAACCTGGGAAGGGATAACCCCAAGTGCCAGCACAGGCTGGGGACTGACCTGCTGGAGAGCAGCGCAGGGGAAAGGGCCCTGGGGGTGCTGGTGGGCAGCAGGATGGCCATGAGCCAGCAGTGCCCTCGTGGCCAAGAAGGCCAATGGCTTCCTGGGCTGGGTTAGAAGGGGAGTAGCTGGTAGGTGGAGAGAGGTTCTCCTGCCCCTCTGCTCTGCCCTGGGGAGGCCACATCTGGAATGTTGTGTCCAGTTCTGGGCCCCTCAGCTC